TCTCTCTCTGAACGCAGCCTGCCGAAGTTTTACCTCTTCCTTTAATTTCAGCAAGAGCATACACGAGGGCGTTTCTGCTGCCGAATTGGACGGTGTGCAATATTAGCAGGAAAACAATTCAAGCGGGAAAAAAACAACTTAAAAGTCTAGAAGTAGACACTTGTGTATAAATAACAAAGGAGGCAACCCTTTGGTTGCAAAGAGTTTGGAAATGCAAATACATACGTGTCTGTGTGCTTTTCAAAGTGCTGCTCACTGATGCAGCCGTTGTGAGATGGTATCCCCTCTTCGCCTCTGGCTCAGATGAATTTGCTTCTGCTCAGGTGGAGTCTCTGTGCAGATGTTTTACTGGCTTAGCTGCAAATGCCGTTCAAAGCCAGCTAGGTTCAGCTTTGGTTTTGGACTCTCCATAAAGTTTAACCTTGTTTATATCTTACATCTGATGCTCAGCCATGGTGGACAATACAATCCAAGTCTTTCACAGTACTGATAGAGATCTGCCAGTGCTAAGAATTCTGAAACTATTAAACTGTGATATTTTCATAGTTTTTGAGGGGTGGCTGATGACTTTATTTATGTATGAGGACAAGTCTGCCTCTCCTGTTCCCCTGCCATCACCTCTTTAGAAAACTGATCTTACTGGAAGACTGGTTTCCTCCATTCCCACCTTCCTGGGACAAAGGCCTCTATGTAGTCTTCTGAATGTCACACATCTCGCAATGCCTGGCACCTTCCTAGAAGGAAAGAAGACAGCCAGTCGGTTTGGGGAGGGGACGAGTTGCCTCAGCCCTTTCCCTCTTCAACGCTGAAGGGAAGAGGCTGTATGATCACCAGTGCTGCAGCTGCGGAGATAGAGGCAAACATACAGTGATGTTAGTAACCGTGGAGTCTGTTCTGTGTGTGCAGTGACAGCACAAGCATGTTGGAATTTAATACCATACCCTTGCAGACAGACTTTTCATGTAGTGCCAAACATAAGTAGCCGCTGTCATCTCAGCTGTGCTGAACTGATGTGTGTAGAGTTACACAATGAAGTGATTCGTCTTAGAAGGGGTTTATTTTTTTACCCAGATTAGGGCCTGACCCAGTTTGCAAGCAGAGAGCTGTACTGGCGTAATTGAGGGAATGAATGCCTGGGAGTAGGGGCTCCTTGAGCTGCCTCTAGCTGAGACAGACGTTCACGTGGCCAGAGCTGTAGCATCAGCTGGTGTGCACGGAGAACTGGGATACTGCTCGAAAAATACTATATAGTACCTGTGCTGCAGTTACCACTATTAGTAAACATTAATTACGTATAGTTATCCAAGCAAGTATGACTGGTTTTGCTGAAGTGATACTGTAAATTTGTTTTCAGTGTCAATTTTTCTGGACACACTGGATGTCAAGAGTTGATGTTGGCACAAAACTTGCACTGAAATAGGCAGACTGTAAATCAGTATGATTCGTTTGATGCAAGGCCCTCATGGACACACTTTTGAAATGCAGGAAAAACCCAATATGGAGTGTTTGTGACTCTTACAACAGACTTTTTTGAGCTGGGTATTTACTCAAGTCTTAAAAGTTGCCCTGACAAACTCTTCAAATAACCAGTCTTTGTACTACCTAACAAATAGGTTTCAGTTTCTGTTTGTCTCGTTTCTCGGTAAAGCAGACAGATATAAAGCTTCCAAGAGAAAGCTTCCAACCTGACGTGACTAATAGCTATGGTCTTCTATTATTGCATAAGATGGAGGATTTGAAGCAGTAGTCAAAACTGGCAAGAACTAGGTGGCACAGCCATTACTGAGATCATACAATTACTAAGATAGCTCAGCAGCAAGCAGTGCACCTGAACACAGCTTCTTAGGCTGCTCAGATGCTATGCATCAATTACCCCCCTGATGTAGCGAGAGTGAACAGAAATTCTCACTCAGTTCCACCTCTTACTCAGGTGGAACTACTCAAAGTTATGTGTTTTGTTGCTGCTGCTGAAGCACCCCTGGGGAGCCACACTAATATAGCCTCACCTCGTTAATTTTAACCTTCTGGGCAAGGGGACCACCTGGGACATCCGTGCTGGCGCCTGTATCTCCAGGATACACAAGGCTGATGACTCCTGTGGTTTTTGAGGACACAAACACACACGACATCCTGGAAGGAAACTTAACAGTTACATTGGTACATGCGTTTCCTCATTTGAATGAGCACAGATAAAAGCTAAACATACGCAGTTTTGCCACCTGGTGAGCTAATATATATGCATGGCATTATATGCTAATAAAGGTGGTCAGTCAGAGTGTGTTAAATAGATAAACCCAGAATGGAGGCAAGCGATCCTATTTGGGATCTAAGCTTATATAGTACTTTATAAATAGTCTTCAGACTTGTAGGGTGGGAATCAATCTGGTAGATACTTATATTGCTTCATTTCTGCAATTAGCTATGCAATGAATTAAGGATTTGTCTAGCATCTCTTAATAAATAGCACGAAAAATCCATCCTTTATAAATTTTGGATAAAATCTTCTGTGGAAGATAACTTTATTGTTGCACTGTGGCGTACTTTTCTTCCGAGCCATCCTGAATTCACCGTCTGTTACAGTCCAGCAGTGGCTAACATGGTTCCCTTTTCTTCTGAGGAGCAGGATAGCTGAAGAAGATTGGAAGACTTATAACTCTGAAGATTGTACGTGGATGTCAGTTTTCCTTTGTAGCTTAGTCACTCAGAAGCAGATGGTCACTGTGGGAAATTAAAATTTACTACCCAAATACAAACTCCTATTCAGAAACCTTGAGGTGGCTTGTGTGCTTTATGTTCACAGTATTTTCTGAAAAACTCCTTAACACAAGCATGTAACAATAAAAGAAAAGGAAAAAAGCTCCCATTTCTTGAGGACTGAAGTGCAGTTTGCATCAAGAGAATAGAATGAGTTGTGTTAACATAGGGAGGCCATTTTGGAATATGTAGCTGCTCTATCACCACAGTATTTTCAAAGAAAAAAAGAGTATTTTGTATGGATGGTGCTTTCTTAGTAAATGGGTAGAAGGTGCCACTTTGAATGAAACAAACAAAAAAATTGTTTATTCTCATTTGTCCTGTTAATCTAATTAAATACTACCTGCATTATAAAGATAGTAGCAGTTGACCGTCACCCATTTATTTCAGATGTTTGTGAAATTATTTGGGGGAAAATAGCTTGTAAAATTTGCCCTGATGAGGTACTGTTTTTTTAAAAGTTTGAAGTGTCAGTTTAGGTCCTCTACAGCACATTAAATGTAGCAGGGCTTACAGCTATGGCACTCATTTTGTGAATTAAAGGTATTTATGAAGAACCAACTTAATATCTCATGAGGACTGATGAGGCAGAAAATAATAATATACATGTTATAATTTGGGCCTTAGCAGTTCAGGAACTGTGATACTAAAATAGTGGAAGAAGCTGGGGCAGACAGGTCAATTTTCTGTATTTTCTTTATTAAGTTTGCATTTCATAAATGAGGATACAATGGTATTTCCTTGTATAAGTCCATAAAAAAAATAAAATTAGTGCATACCATGTTTGCAGAGCAGCTCACTCACTAGCTAACAGCGTCTAGTTAAAATACTAGAATGAATAGAGCGTTACTACTCGTCTAAAATGAATTATTCTCCAAGTATTTTAAGCCCAAAAGTAATAACAATAAAAAATGAAACCAAAACTTTAAGGTCACTTTATTTTGCAGTGTTATAGTAAGTATTTAAATTGTTTTACTGCATAAAAGATCTAATGAGACTTGCAATAAATTTTTCTGTTGCCTACGTTACCTTAAGCCTAAAAAGAAGTCAGTAATAATGATTGAGTGATCAATTCCATGAATCTACTTCGAGACTTTTTAAATAGATGCTTTCTTCAAACCTGTTAGTTACAGGTATCGGCAGTCAAAATTTCAGAGCTTATATAGTACTAAATTTATATAATAGGAGTACAGTAGCAGAGTGTTGAAAATTTATGCCTCAAGGCATAAATTCCATAGATGGAAATGTGTGAAGTCTCATTAAGGAAGAATGCTTCCCTGTCTACTGTTGTCTGTTTTGCTGAATCCATATTATTATGTGCAGGTAAAACATAAAAGAGTCTAAATTTTTACAGGAAACAGTATTTCTGATTCTAGAAAACTATTTTAAGCTAAATGTACTGAACAAATCTATACATGTCCCACATTTTGTGTATGCTTTCAAATTACATACTCCATTGATTTTAAGCCCTATAGGCTCTGATAATCCAAATCCAAACTGCCAGGGAACTGACTGGTAAGAGAACAGGAGCCTGAAACACCCCTTCTTGTCAGTCAGACTTATGGCAATTTCTTAAGAATTTACTACTTCACTTGCAGTTCCCTATAATAATCAGAAACTACCCAGATGAACTCTATGATGGGGAATAGCTATCAGCTGGGTAGCATATAGTCCTGTGCCACACCCTTTACCTGCTATATATTTAGGCCATATGAGGTACTTTCTTTCTCTAAAATGGCTGCTACCCCTGGAGGTAGCGATACTAACCAGGTACACGTTTTCTTGATTTCTTTTTAATAGAATGGAAATACTATTTTTTTCATCAGAAGTCAGATTTGGTTTTGCATGTATGATAGTGCTTTTTAAAACTTAAGCTTTAGCTGCTGATTTTTCATATTTAGAAAGCTTTTCATGGTTGTACTGTGGTCAGATAATAAATAAGGTTACACAATAGACTTTTTGGAGCTCTTTGCATTAAGTTCTTTCTCTGTATTTAAATTTTAATCTGTTTCTTGCTGGTTAATTTTTTTAGTGAGATGAGAGTTATTGTCCTAAATTTATAAGAAGGTGGAGGATGCATCCACTACTCGACTGCTTTCTAGCTTTTGGTGCTTTTAAAATTTTTTTACATTGGACACTGCTTCATATTGGAGTTGGTCATTTTCAGTATAGAAATACTTTGGGCTATGTTTATAATGATTAATTGGGGGGAAAAATTAATTATAAATCTGACAAGTCACTATTTCATTGCTAATGGAAGCTTGTTTTTAAGTGTGTATTGGTGAAGATATCCAACTAAGGGAAAAATAAACTTTTTTCTGTAATTCAAAGGCAAGAGAAAGGTGGTGTGGTGCCTGAGCTGCTATGTTTAACTAGCTGGTATTTGTTTTCTTGATTGTAAACAAAATTTCAAGATCAACAACTACTATAAAAGGAGCTGCTGAGAAAGTAATTTAAGTGCATTGCTGTTTTGTAGTGTGAAACTTCAAAGAGCTATCTGTATTTAAAAATTTATAAATCTGCTTTCCCTTTTACTAGGATATCCGGAAATTCTTTGGTGTTGTACCTCCTGGAAAGCGACAAGAACATGATACTGTGAAAAAGAGTGAAAAAATTAAAAATGGTGAAGGACCTTCAAGTGGGAAGAAAAAGGGAAAGGAGTCTAAGGTTAGTTTTGCTTTTCTTATTTGTGCAGTGCTTGGTTTCTCTGATGTAGGATTGTTCATATCTAGCATTTTTGAAGTCATGATATACCCAAAAAATCGACTATATGTCAGTTGTTTCTATAGGTATGGGAGGAAACTACTGCTTAATATTAGCATCTAGCAGCAAAACTTTGTAGGTGGTGAAGAAAATTGCTGATTTTGAAGTTATTTGGGTTGTAGGGCAAAGGAGAGGTAGGTAGAAGTTGTTATGGTTAGATGCTAATGTAGGAACAATGTATTTGATATATTTGAAGTTATGTTAGCTATAGCCATAGTTGTCTAAGTAGCTCTGTTTAGTTAATTTTGAGTTTAATTAAGACTGAGGCTTACACACAGTAGATGGAGACATACAATAAGGACATTACGCGTTCAAGTAAGGTAAAAGTCTGTGGTGAAGGTGCCCTCTTGAGTGGCTAAAGAGGGCTTTAAAATCACTTAGAGAATGGAAGGATTTCTAATAAGATGGAATATTTAATGTGAAGCAACACAAGAAGTAAGATGTTACTTAAAATATTTTGGCTTTATAATGTCATTGTTTCAATGTGAAAATAAAGGACCATTCAGTGGAACTGAAAGACATAGGAATTATGTGATCTATTATTTCTACTTTGCAGTTCTGCAGTTACATCAAGGATTTATCAGGTTTCAGATTAGAATTGAATGTCAGCTATAAAATGTGTAGTTCTGTTTATATAGAATTATATTTTTGGAAGTATTTACAGCTGTGCATGACTTCAAAACAAGCATAGTTGGTAGTTTGGTAGGCCCAGAAAACTTCCTGGCTGCGCAGCTTGTGTTTTTTCTAAGTATCTAAAACTTGTCAATGTCTTTAAAAAAAAAAAATTTCCTTGAGACAGTTTAATAGTAGCTGCTGCTAGAGGGAATGCGTTTGTTGACTGTGACCATTGGTGCAATCTCTTAACAGTAGTTGCACTGCGTAATTGGTAAGAGGAGAAGCTGCAAGCAACCGGGATGCAGAATAGGAAGTCAGTCTGGCTTCAGCTTTTGTGTATGCTTTTTCCCTTTTTCAGTTGGCTACATTTTACTCTGTGGAGTTGTGTCAAATCCTGGTGGTTACAGTAAAACCATATCCAGGGTGGAACCAAAAGTGAAAGCTGAATTCTGTACAAGTAACTTACTGGCCGGTACCACCTCTATTTCTGATGGGACCATGCAATTTGTTTTTTAGATTAGAAGTTGGAAGTGCTCAAAAACCTGGTTTACTTTAAGTGACATTAAACCTGAATGTTTTCAACTTAACATATTGTTGATAGCGTTATTCTCAACATAATCATCTCTGGTTTGCTTGGAGCACGTTTGGCTTTACTGCTGCCGTTTCTTCTTTGTTTCCTCTGCCCTGCACCTTTCCCCCTCCCACTCATGAGTTAGCATAAGACTGTTTGTAAATGTAATATTGGGAAATAAACAATTTCTGTTAGAATTTGTTTGAAACTCATAAATTTGAACATGTAACTGGGTAAAAGCTTGGAGGACCTGTTTACTGGTTGAACTAATGGACTGTTACTCTTAGGTGAATAATTCACCCAGTGAAGATGCTTCCAAACAAAAGCGGACAAACAAGAAGAGAAGAATAATCTATGATTCAGGTAGTGTTCACAGTTGTTTCTGAATGCTCCTTTGTATCTCTTGCATCAGCATTCAAGGTCAATTAGGTAAATGGTACATCTGAAACAAAGCTGTGGTTTGTTGGTTTGTTTTTTTTTTTTTAGTAAATGCAATTAAAAACATTTTTCACAGTAATTATTGCTAGATGGCTAAATATATTTAATAACGAGTGCAGTGTGTGCCATGCAAGCAATATACAGTGCAAAGTAACTTTTAAAAAAACCAAACCCACAAAAAACCCCACCAAAAAGAAAAGTTTAGATGGTAAATTCTATCAGAAATCCAGAAGTTTGTTCTTTTGTTACAAAGACACACATAAATTGTGGGGAGTTTTAGGTTTCCTGTTAGAGATAAGTAACATCCTACTCTGAGTACAGGAGGCTGATCATATACTATAATATCACATATCTGTGCATTGCATGAACATAATGTAGGAGATAGTTTTAAAAGGCTAACTTGTGTTTCCATATGTGTCTTTATTAAAAAATCTAGTAAATGTTTATCCCATAGTTTTAAATTTACAGTATGGAACATGCAGAGTATAGTTCAAAGCACTGCTATTACATTCTAAAAATATTATTTGGAATATTATAATAAAGGAAACACCTTTTATAGCACTTGCATCTTGAAAAAACCCGAAGAAACAAATAACAAAAAGCACCTCTCCAAACAAAAAAACCTCAAACCCTTGCCTGTCAAGTTAAATCAGTTTAATTTAAAAGCTCGAAATTTATTGTTATTTATGTATATATTTATCGTTATTTCATGTAATCCCTCTTTTATTTCATTCTGAATCTTGAATATTTTGTAGTGAAACTGTAGAAAAGATTGCAGGAGTTTCTACAATTTTTGACTCCTACTGAGGACTTGAGCTTGAGTTTTTAGAAGCAATCTTCTTGACCATAGAAGATTGCTTCTCTTGTAGAAGAAAAATGATCACACAAATATTTGTCAGAATAATGCTATTGTATATAGAAAAACATAATCAAATCCTCAGATAAACTGTTCTATAAATAATTCCTGTTTAGCAGTGAGGAATAGCAGTAGAAATATTTCTGCATTAAAAGGTGGAGTACAAAAGTAATAAAAAACTCAACTGCTACCTTTAAAATCCTGATACCATCTGGAGATCTTGCAAATTCTAGCCCATTAGTAGTAGGAGAGCAAAAGAGAAATAGTGCTCTATGTTCTTGAAGACGGTAAAGTGCGTGTGGTTTGTGTGGTTTTTTTTTTTTTTTTTTTTTTTGAAAGTGCGTGTGGTTTGTGTGGGTTTTTTTGTTTTTTTTTTTTTAAATTGCATTATATGTCAGTGTTTATCATGCAAAAAGGTAGGCTCTGAAGGGTAGTTCTCTGTTACGCTTGCTGGTTGTATTGGCGTCTTCAGTTTGTCCTGCTTACTTACTGGGTTTTGGGACATGTAATCCACAGTGGTGTAAATTTGGCATCCTGACAACTTTTGGGATATGGAGAATGGTTGGTGAGGTGAATGGCAGTCTACCAGTGCTGTCCTGAAAAATCAGAGTACAACCTCAGTTGACCTATTTTAGCCTGTTGTTAGCTTTTGGAATAGGTGTCATGGAATATGCAGCCTAATACAATATACTACATAAATTTTGTCAGGCTAATGAATCTATGTTAAAAGTTTGTTGTGGTGTTTTGGGTTTTTTTTGGGGGGTGTGTGTTTGGTTTTTTTAGTAATCTGATGTGGTACTCTGACAGTTGCATTCCTTTTTTGAAAGGTTTTTATACAAGCATAGCAGTTCTTGGAATAAGTAACAAAATATTTCTTCTTCTGTGAACAAAAAACACTGTCTAGAGTGAGTTCTGACCAAATTTTCATTTAGTCACTTACATGCTGGAGTAAATGATGGCTAGGCTATTAGCTGATGGAGAAAAACGGAGCTCTGCTCTGACCCTCCGCATGATACCTTTTTCTCACTCAGTTGAATATATGTGAAAGCCTGTTAACCAATGTTGTATGATCTACTACTTAAAGTCTGTATGTATGTGGAGAAAATCTACATTTATGTTGTGGTCAAAATACAGATTCAGAAGAGGAGGTGCAGTCAGTGAAAAAATCCAAGAAGCCATCTGAGAAAAAAGCAGCTACTTCAGATCTTGGTAAAGTTCTAAAGCGGGATCCTGTTGTTTATATTTCAGAGACAGGTAATGGAAGAAACATATCATTATATATGTTCAGGTGTAATGGGGTGGATTATGTTACAAATGGGATGGATTGTTTGACTGATACACTCTTAAATATGACCATAAAACCTAATATTGGGAAAGACAAATTATGTTCTCCTTAAACAAGCTAACCAAAAGCACTTTGGAAATTTAGCCTCAATCAAGTACTGTAAAGTCAGGAGCAGGGTGAAACTGAGGTGTTGTTGTGTAGTAGCTTAGGTTGATTTAAATAGGTATGTAATTTCATGAGCTAACACTTGCCTGCTTAAGACTGCTCCATAGGGGAAGAAGTTAAGTAAAGGAAGTATTTTTAAAAGTTAAACTGCTCACTAGCACACTTTGTGAATTGACTATTGGCTACTATAAATAGGCTTGAAAACCTAGATTTTTTTATTTTACTTGGTATATGACTTTCCATGTGTTTTCCTTATCAACACAAACAAATTTATTTGTCTGTTAGACTTTTAGGAAGAACTGAAATTGGAAAAGACAATCATAACAAAAACTTGCCTTATACCTTGTATACTACTTGTATACATGCTACACCATACTTCTCAGTCTTGGGATTTCAGCTTTCTAAATTCTGGAGCTATTTTTGCTCTTGGGGAAAGGAGTGAGTGTAATTAATGATCCTTGATCAATTTCACATCTCCTGTAGCCGTCTGAAAAAATTGTGACAGTGATTAACTGCTAAGTTCTCAGCAGTTTTGTTTAGATTTAGTCTCTTCTTTAGAAGCTGTATAGTTAAACCACAATCTTAACTCAAGCCATATAAGTACTGTTCAACTGAACAGATAAGGGCAAGTTCTATTGGTTTGATTGAAGAGTCTTCTGCATTAGTTTTCATTGTTTGCATGGTGGTTGTTCCCAAGTACTGCTTTCAGTGTTGATTCTTGACCTCACTGCTTTCAAGAGGAATTTGACTGTAAATTTACGGGGGAGACATTCATTTACTGTTATGAAAGCTTCATCCTGCGAAGTTCTCATTAAATGTATTTCCTTCCCAGCTCCAAAACAAAAAAAAAACCTACTAGTGATTTTTCTGCTCCCCCCTGCCCACTTCTCCTGTGTTCTTAATTTTATCATGAAGCAGTTCGGTTTCCGATTACTTAACCTCATATTGTGCATTTACCTCTGCTAAATTGGAGATGTTATGGAAGAGTTTCAGTGGCATTAGCTACTATTGTTTGGTAGGTGAACATCAGTTTATGTAGACTTGGTCTTATTTATGAATCAAGAATCGTTAATGGTATACCACCAGCATAGGGGAAAATGCGCAGGTTTTGTGAATACTGTAAAAATGCATCTGTGGAAGAAAGTTACCAGAGCTTCTAGTGTTTAGCTTAATATTTCAGTACTTCTTGAAGACGTACTTTAATAATTCTTTTTTGTTATCTGAGAACAGTTGGCTGAATGTGTGTTTTTTGTTATGTAGAGTTGTGGGGTTTTTTTTTCTTTTTAAATACATACACATGCTTGCAGCTTCAGGGTTGCTTTTACTGCTGGTTGTTCTACTATTCCATCTTAACTAAGAGATCTGTTGGTGGTGCTTAAGCAAAGATTGAGACTATCTGTGGGCTGAAAGAATTAACTTACTAAGATTCTGAGAGTAGGATGAATTATGATTCCTGTCTTACTGAATGGCATAGGTTGGAACTATCTTAAATTTGCCCAGGTTAATTTGATAAATTAGAAGCTTTTTGAATGGTCTACCGTTCAGTGCTCATAGCTTCCCAACTTAAATCTCTTGTCATGTTAGGTTCATTCTTCTCTGATTTGCTTTTAAAACATAAAGGTCTCTTTCTGCACTGGATCTATTGTAATTTCACATTGATTTGTTACAATGCAGGTAAACTTGGGTGTTTTGATATTGGGTACTGGTTACCAATACTCCAATCACCTGTGCAACACAAGCTGTAGAATTTCCTGAGAGTTGTAACACTAGGTGGACCCATTTTGGTCACAAAGGTATTTCTTATAATTTGTGATGCATCTCTACTTGCTATAACTTAGGCTGGAAGTGAGGAAGACATGCTTTTTGTCACTTGCTGCTGCAGTTAGATGTACTTACTACATCTGCTCTGAGTTCAGCTGAGGCTGGAACTATCAGGTCTTCTGTATTTGTCTCCTAGGGTAGAGTTCTTTACTAGCCACAGGACTTTAAACTGTGATGAAATTAATCCAAATCAACTTTGATAAAACATGGATTTTAAATGTTAGAATTCCAGGAGTTCTTCTGTGATCCTTCTTTGAGCTTTAGGACACATATTTGGAAAAGTGGACACAGTCCCCGGGTATAGTATTTTTTCAGTAAGATCATTGCTGAACATAAACATTGCCTCCCTATAATCTTACCATGTATTTTTAAAACAAAAGAGGATTGTTTGCTGCAGTATCCCATTAGAAGTGTGGCTCGTCTGGCTTTTTTCTATGCCTTTTTCCTCCTTAGGCTCTTTTCAGAAACACTGTTTCTAAGATGGACTGTGCTTATTTTACTTGTCCTAGATATTTGACCTGGCATTTAGCCGTACTATGTCACGTATTTAGATGAGCTCAATTTTCCAAAGTATCCTGAACACTTTATCTGTCTTGTTTGTCCTTTTACTCAAAACTTTGTTTCCTTTAACAGTTTTGCCAACAACTTTTTCCTAATTAAAAAGGATCTTTAACAGCATTCATCTCAGAATAGATAAATGATCAGATTCCTGGGGAATAAACAGTACACATCTAGGCTTATTATGCAATTCAAGGTGATGTAATCAAGTTTTTCTGCATAGGGATACCATGGGAACACAGGTCAAGGTTTTTTGTGAAAACCCTGAAAACCACAGCTCAAGGTTACTCCTATTTAAAGAGTCTTAAGTACACACAAAGTTGACTTAAAAGTCTATGACTAAAACAATGCCTTTATAACCTTGAGGCTTAATGCTTGAGTTTTGTTTATATTTATTCTGTATAAATTGTTTCTTTGGCTTAATGGAGCTGTCAAGCTGAATGTGTTAATGGTATTGATACAGCTATTGGCTTGGGATAAACATGTTTTGTAAGAATAGGAATATAGAAATAGAAAAGATCCTAACGAAATTTGTAGGCATTTGTCCTTTTCTTGGTTTTGGTGTTATGCAGCTGAAAACTTAAGAATATGTTTATTGGACTTTGCTTCAAAAGTCAGAATCTCATTTTCAAGGGCTCTGTCTGTGGCAATGTGTTTAAAAGAGCCTTTAGGCATCAAGTGGTGAGTAGAAGCTTGGTAGTTAATTGCCTCAACCTAATTTTCAGTTTAATTTGAAACTTTCTTCCTGTTGGTCAAATTTCTTTTCAGCTCTTCTATGTAACTATGTGGGATACAGCTTTCTTGAAAAATGCTGGGGGAATTAACTTTTTTGTTTGTTAAGAGTGGACTGATGAGATTATTGCATTGCTTTGTTTCTTATTAGTTTGTGAAGTTGCCTTTTTTTAAAAAAAAGGCAGAAAAATAAAGCAAGAACAGTTGCTCTTTGTAATTCTATTAAAAATACTTTGTTATTGAAACAAATCTAATGTAAATATTTAGTTTACTTGTGGTCAAAGATAAAGTGAAAGTTATTCTAGGAGGTAACAAGGAGAGAAAAGAGCTTTTTTTTTTTTTTGTTGATATAACAGCCTTAGTGGATTGGGAAAAAATCCAAATGTTTGTTGTATTTGTTAAAATGACACTTTGTTTGACTGTTTAATGAAGTATGGAGCTTTGTTTGTAGAAGATTACCTGTTATGTTGTGTTGAACCTCATCTGTTTTCATCACAGGTGGTTATTTGGCAGGAATTGCTACTTCACTTTGAATACTTAAATATTTCATAGGCATCGTGTAGACGTAATCATGCATATGTAGCAATTGCCTTGGTCTCTTGAATATTGCAAAATACAACTTTAAAAAAAAAAAAAAAAAAGCCCTGTTCTAGTGGTAGGCTGAATTATTTATAAAGCTAGAAAAACCAAAGTGGTATAAACTGAGTAGGTTTGTAGGCTACTGGAAAACTGTTCTTGAGAGGCTGCTGGAACGCAGGACAAGAAGAACAGCTTGTGAATGTGTTTGCTGAATATACATTCTTTTAATACAGAGAATATTGCATGGGGTGGGGAAACAAACAAAAAAACCCCTGAAACACTACAGAAAAAAAATCAGTTAAGTGCTAGTACTGGTGGCCCAAAAAAAAAGTCCCCACATCCAAACACTGGTTCAAATGAGCAGCAGATTGTAAGTGAATAGGCATGTCTTGTACTGAAACACTTCCTTGGGGAATAAAAAATTGTCACCGTTACTTCCTGGGCAATACTAGCATTGTATGTCCATATTTATGGAAATTGCTATACTTATGCAAAAATGCATGAAGGTGATCAATAGTGCTCTATGTGCCAGCTTTCCTCTAAAGTGTTCTATTAAAGGTCATTTGAGAATATGTAGTTGAACCTTAGGGGAGTTTGACTTGAAATGCACTTGAGGAATGAGAGTATAAGTTCTGGCAGAAATCTTATGAAGAAGGAGGGACTAGTGTTGCAGAGGACTATGTAAAAGGTATGAGCCCCATTAAAATTAATTTGGTTAAGTTTGGGAATACCAACATGAGGGTCCTGTAGTGGTGAAGTGTGCTGTTCTTAGTCTCATAAGCGGTGAGAGGAGTGTTGTATGAACATAGTAAATGTATGATAGTATCTGGAGTTGCCTCCCTGAATAGGGGAGGGAGTAAGTGGAACGCAGAGGTGTGGATGAAGTAAAATTTATTCTTATTTTTGCAGATTTTTGGATTGCAAAACAAGTGTTTTAATTGTCAATTAAATTTGAGGAAACTTTCTGGAAAAATAATTTTCATATATACTTCATGCTTGTTCCTTCTTTAAAAAATGGCTTCTGTGTGAAAGCTATTGATTCTGTAGGCTGTTTTCAATATTTTAAAGCCCAAACTATTTTTTATCTGTTTAGAAAAGGAAACGGGTTTCTCTT